TGAGGTCACCTGTAGCCACGGTTGGTGGCCCGCGGCGGGATGCGGTAGACGTGCACCTCCGGCTTGACGCAGAGCACAGATTCATACTCGCTCTCCTCCATCTCGACGCCCCGAGCCCAGCGGATTTCCGGCTCCTTCCTCAGCTGCGGGGCCGGAAGCGGCCGACTCTATGACCGGCCTCTCGCTAGAGCGGCCACTCGCGGGCTGCGGCAACTGCTCCCTCGCGCTCCCCCTGCTGGAGGCCCTGACTCAAGACCCGGAGAAAGCTCCAACACAGACCCCGCGGTGCGCTGCAGCCTGGTTGTGGGTCAGCTTCATCCCATCAACTCTTGGGCCCCGGGCCCAACAGGCCGAGATGCAAAACTGAAACTCATCCAGCCCTGGGTCGCTCCTCCAACCTTTGCCTCCACTCCTCCTCTGGCTGAATGTCTTCTCTTCTGAAAGCCTCACCTGACCCACCAGGCTAAGTAGATGCCCCTCCCCGACCACCTCCGTGCCCCCCATATGTTTGAAATACATTTCTAAACCTCTGCTGCTAAGAAAAATTGGACCTACCCCATACTTCCAGTGTAATTACCGTATATACTGAACGAATTCGGTTCAAGCCAACAATTCAGTGAAATTGAGAACATTCTAAGAGGCTCAGGTGGAGCCCATGCTGTATGTGATGAGGTGAACGGGTTGTAAAACCTCACTGTGATTCATCCTACTGCTTTCTGGTAGGTCCAGGGCCAAGGTGGGGGTTTTGTGAGCAGGCTTTCCTTCACAGCCTCCAGAAATATATCATTTGGGGACCAGCAGGTGGTGTGGTGGTTAAGGCGCTGGACATTCCCACATGGCCAAGAGCCCGGGACCAGATGGCTTGCTTTCTGACTTTCTCTCTGTCTCTTTCTGGTCAAATTAAAAAAGAAAGAAATGAACAAATAAAATTAAATAAGTAATTCTTTAAAAAATATATATAAGTCACTTGTATGTTTTTGCCATTATAGAGATTTTATTTTATTTATTTATTTTTTTGGTTTGCTACAGGGCTTGTGTGCTTGCCAAAGAGAGACAGAAAGAGAATCAACGTGAGAACAACCTCCCCACAAGGGGATGGTCACTCCACAATCTCTCCCTCCAGTTTCTGCTTGGGATTTCGGACCCATACACACGTACTGATGTGTTTTTGTTTTTTAGAGGTATTTGCCATAAAGCACATGTGCTTGTCACTTGTTGGAGAGAGACAGAGACAGTGAGAGGGAAAGTAAGAAATCACTCCCCGGGGGGATGGCCACCCCACAATCCCTTCTTCATTCTCCTGGGATCCTGGACACACATGAACCCACACCCAGTGTGATTTTCAAGCCACCAGTCAGGGACTTGAACCGCACCTGCATATGTGAGAGTCCAGCTATGTAACCACTATGCCATCTGCTTGCCTTCTAACATGGCTTTAGGCCACCTGGCCCAGGACTAAATGGTATAATCTCCACACCACCTGCTGGCCCTAGCTAAACATTTCTCACATGAGGAAACCACTTATGAAATGGCATTCAATGCCAAGACAATCTTGAAAAAGTACAAAGTTGGAGGATTCACATTTCCAAATTTCAAAACTTACTACAAAGCTGCAGTAATCAAGGCACTGTATGAGCCAGTGGGTGGCATGGTGGTTAAGGTGCTGGATTCCCCACAGTGCTAACCACTGTTTGAGTCCTAGACTTGAGGGTTTAAAAATCACAATAAATAATTTATTTGTTTATATATATATATATATGTAAACATTTTTTAAAGACAGTGTAGTACAGCGTAAGGATAGACATATCCTTATGTCTGTACATTGGTAGAATAAATTGAGAATGTAGAAATGAATCCTTACTTTTACAGTAAACTCACTTTTTATATGAACGTCGAGACAATCCAATGGAGAAAAAATAGTCTTTTCAACAAATGGCATTGAGATGAGATGTCCACATGTGAAAGTTGGATCCTTACCTCACACCACACACAGAAAGCAATTCAAGGGACCAACTGGTGGCATGGTGGTTCAGGTGGCTAGATTTCACATGGCCAACTACATAGTTCAAGTCTCTGACTCAGCAGCTTGAAAAAACAATTCAAGTGTGTATGCATGCATACCCAGAATCCTGAGAGAAGAATGAAGGAGAAGGGATTATAGCATGGCCATTGCCACTGGGAAGGCATTTTCTTATTCTCCCTCTCTGTCTCTCTGTCTCCAATGAGTGCAAATGGACTATAGTGAATTTTTTTTTAAAAGTAACTCAAAATAAATTATAGGCCTAAATGTAAAAGCTGAAACTGTACAACTCTTAGAACAAAACATAGGCATAAGTCCATGACATTGGATTTATGTCATAATAAAAAGAATCTAGGCCCAGCCACAGTAGCACACACTGGACACTGCTGGTCAGCAGGCTGGAGTCCATGGGAGGCTTGAGTTCAATTCCCAGCCTACATAAAAAGCCTCAGAGTGGAATGCATGTTTAGTCCCAGCTGCTCAAGAAGCTGAGGTAGGAGGATGGAGAGCTAGCAACCAGCATGGGCAACATAGCTGAAAGAGCTGGGGATGGGGGCACACACCTCTGGTCCTAACTCTCAGGAGCCTGAGGCAGGAGGATCACAACATACTGAGACCTTGTCTGAAAGACACCAAACACACACACACACACACAAAGCAAAGAAAGAAAAAAGAAAAAGAATGTAATGGATACCTAGGCATGATACTAAAATATAAATACCAAAATAGAAAAAAATAAATGAGACTTTTAACAAAATAACAAAGCAAACAAAAGCAAAAAACAAAAAATAAAAGTGCTGGGGACCAGCAGGTGGTGTAATGGTTATGTTGCTGGACTCCCACATGGTCAATTGTGGTTCAAGTCCCAGACCTGGCGACTTGAAACTCACACCGGATGCATGTGACAAAAATCCCAAGAGGAGAATGGGGTAGAAGGGATTGCAGCATGGCCATCTCCCCTGGGGGGTGATTTCTTGCTTTTTGTCTCTTTCTCTCTGGCGAGTACACGTGCCCTAATAGCAAAAATCTCTTAAAAATAAAATAAAAGTAAAGGACAAAATAGTGAAAATATAGTCTATATAATAGAAGAAAATTTTTGGAAATCATCTATCTTATAAGAATCTATAGGGATCAGCAGTTGGCATAATGGTGATGTCGCTGGACTCCCATGTAGTCGACTGCGGTTCGAGGCCTGGACCCAGTGGCTTAAATTCAGCCTGGGCACGTGTGCGTGTGTGCTCACGATCCTGAGAGGAGATTGGAGGAGAAGGGATTGCGGCGTGACCATCCCCCCGGGGGGCAATTTCTCGCTTTGTGCCTCTCTTTCTCTCTTTCTGGTGAGCGCATGTGCCCTATAGCAAAAACCTCTCAAAAAAAACAAACAAA